GGGGGGGGGGGGGCCCTAGCCCTGCTTCTGCTCATAACCGCACAGTGGCAGTGGCAAGGCTGCTGTGGACCTTTGCAGAAGCGCTGACTTAACGGCACTCAGGGGCTCAGACTCCGCATAACCCGCCCCCATCAAAAACCATTCACATGTGTATTTCAACGAGCCCCTTTTCAACAGAGGGGCAGGAGCACCTCGCAGAGTCCCCCTAAGCGAAGATGCTTTCATTAGCTACCCGTCTGCCCTCGTTCCTGTGGGGATGGGAACACAGCCGTCCTTCCTAAACACCCTCCAGACCCACATTGGGTGGCTTTAAGCCACAGACTTCCGCCCAAGTGAAGGTGTGGCCAGGCCAGAGGGAAAGCCTAAGAATCAGGCTAGGTCCTTGCTCAGTTATTGAGAGTCTCAGATTTTCTTTTTATTAAAGCAAATCATTATTTCAAGAGCACATTCCACTTTTTAGAGCAGAATCCTCCAGAACAAAGATGAAACAAAACAAAAAAAATTAAAATTAAAAAAGGAGAGACTGGACAAGCACACATTCTGTAAGTACCTAAATTATTCTGCTCGGGTTGAAATAACAAGGTGGCTGCTGGCTTGTTTTTAAAATATCAAAAGCAAGACTCTCCAAAGAAAAAGAAAAAACTCCAAGCAAAGGTCTTGCTTTCCATTACCTATATTTGTATAAAAGCGATGTGTTGTTTTAACTAAACATGTGGTCTTCGTCCCTCATGCAGAGAATTCTGCGTTTTCCTGACACTTTGGCAAGAGGTACCTCAACCCCCTGCCAGGCCAGTAAAAATCACACATTTTTCCTGCAAGGAAAAAAATGTCAATAAAAATGAACATTAAAAAGTGTAAAAGCTGGAATCGGAGAGCTGTGCTGTAAAGCGGCTGCTTCCTAAACAGCCTCGCACAAGGGCTTAAAAATTTTTTGTAACATCGCCGCTGCATACCGTTCAAAAGACCTAACACTGATACTGCACATTTGTTCAATACGTTGTTCTAAAATATGTCCTTCAGACGTAGGGACCTGGCCACTTAAACCGCCTTCTAGAATAAATCATATGAATTAATTTTTATAAATATTTAATGTTTATTCTTGTATTGTACAAATTGATTCTTTAAGTTACTTCAGCTAGAATTGAATTTCAACCGCTTTTAGGACATGCAAGAATCATCTTTGTCTCCCTTCCATCGGCACCTTTCAAGGCCCTCGTGTCGTCATCTGTCATAATAAAAAGCAGAGAAGTAAATACAATGCTGCTATCCAAATATGACAAGCTCATTATAACAAGCCACTCATAAATCCTGAAACAAAGGCACCGCCACACATTTTGAGAACAGCAATTTTACGCGATTTGCATAGGATGATTTTATTTCAGACCAAGGCAGGTATTTCTTTCTCTTTGCACACATAATGCTGAAATGAATTATACAGTAATTCCACCACCCACCTCTAAAGAGGGCCTGAAATTAGTTAACAAATGGCTGCAAAATACTTTGCAATCATGAGGTGCAAAATAAGACTATAACGTCCATAAATTCTTCTGCGTGGCACAACTGGATTATGCGTAGATGGGAAGGAAGAAATAAACAGTGTAAAAAGGCGAATGCCCTGGGTAGAGGGTGAGGAGAAGGTTCTATAATGAGGTTCGTCTGGATATTAAAATTCAACACCTCCCTGGTAAGTCTCACCATGGCCTCAGGGGACACAGACAAATGTGTGGAGTGAGCTGGCCCTTCTACATAAAGATTTAAATAAAAACTTGCAGCCCATGGCATAAAAACAACCTCTAATTTTAAATATTTTAGTAGATCCTTAAAAAGTCCTAAACCCAGCTCAAGGCAGCTCAGTTCTGGATTGGGGGAAATGATCTGTCCGCTCACTCTGCCTGCCACAGGTTAGGGTGCATCTAGTGGGCATGGAAAACTAAGCAGCAGTCAGAGAACCCTTTTCTGCCTCAGCCGGAGGAGCCAGTAGGCCTGTGAAGTCTGCCTGGCGGGAGACCCTGAAGCATCGTCAGGAAGCCCTCCATGGGGCTGTGTAGTCCCTTTTCATACCCTTCCTGGTGTTGGGCCCATCAACACGGCACATGCCATCAGAACATACTGAACCTAGTAAGTTGTACGTTGCACTGTAACAGAATAAACCTGAACACACATTCAGCCTACTCATTTATACCTGACTGTCCGTGTATGGGTCTCTGTCCTGGAAAGCCTCAGATGTGAATCCTCAGCAGGAGAATGTTAATTTAAGGTGGTGTGATTTCAGGACAAGCCAACTGACTTAAGTTCTAATAATGTATACGTCACAGCAGGAGAAAACTGATCGGCAGCCGAAATTGGGGAAAATAATGAACAAGCAACTTCAGTTTTAATTCCTATTTCTAACACTAATGAAAAATGTATTCATTTAGAAATAAACTGTCCTGAGTACCTGCGACAATGGAAATGCCACTGTGACCTGCACAAGCTGGGTCCTGCCTTCATATAGTTCCCAGAGCAGCAGAGGGGGAAGCAGGGAAGCAAGACAAGTGAGAGTGAACAGAGCCAGGGTTAGGGAGGAACAAAGAGCCATTTATTGGAGCTGGAAAGCGGGCGAGACTCCTCAGGCATGTGAGGCCTCAGCCGAGCCCCAAACAATGAAAAGGTGTAAGTAGGTGAACATTCCGCGCACAGGAAAATACTGAGCAGAGGCCCGGGAAAGAGACAGTACATGCATTTGGAAGAACAGAAGGAAGTTTGTCGTATAGCAGGGAGCTGGTAGGGGGGAGGGAGAGACAGTGCGGGAGAAGTAGGAGCACAAGAAATGAACAGCGGGCTCTCTAAGGACTGCGAGAGAAACGGGAAATCACAGAAAGGTGTTGAAGAAGAAATCATAAATATATTGTATTTTATTTTTAAAATTTTCTGATGGCACTGTGGAGGAAGAATTGGAGAGGGCCAAGAAAAAGGTCCAGGCAGGAGAAAATGGTAACCGAGCGAAGGCAATAAGACTAGAGAGACACAAACAGATGTAAGAGCTGTTTAGAAGTTAAGAGAGACCAGACTCAATTGGGCAGACTAGCATAGCGAGTAAGTTTTCAGATGGCTTGGGTTCGAATACTGACTCTGCCACTTACAGGGACAGTTACTTAATCCTTTTGTGCCTTAATCTCCCTTTCTGTAGTGTAGGAACAATAATAATAATGTCCACTCATGGGATTACTATGAAAGGTAAGTTAATTCACAAAGTACTTAGGACAGCTCATGGCACATGATAAATACTCAAAAAAATATTGTTTATGGAGTGTAATGGCTCAAAACTAGAAACAATTGTCCATTAACTATGGAACGGGATGTGGTAGAAAACAGGAGGAAAGAGTCAAGGACCTTACAAAGGATTCTGGCTTGGACAAAGGGCACAGCTTGGAGCTGTGCCGGTTATCTCCTCGCTGCATCTCAGCTCCAAATCCACTCTTCATTTCATGCTCTGAAATAATGGAGATGGACCCAGTAAGCATTTCTCCTTTGCAGCTGGCATTTGGCTTTTTCAATAAAAGGTACTAGAGGGGTAATGCAGGAAGAAGAGACCCAGGCCAATCCCTTCTACTTTTTCCCGAGTGTGAACTCGACCAACATAACTTGCTCCTTGCTTCTCCCATTTCTCAAAAGTTTGGATCTACTGACCACAAAAAAAGGAAGTTCCATCAGCAGTTCGCAAAGAAACAATTGGGAAGAGAAATGCATTAAGACCTCAGGGAAATTAAACCCAAATAATCCAATAACAGCATCACAAAATTAACAATAGACTATGAATTGAATTAATTGCCTCCTACTGTGGGGATCCCTGACTACCACAGACCAAAATAAATGAGGCCAATGTTACCAGCTGCCTTAAGAGAGGCCCTGGCAAGTGTGACTTGGGGTACCCAAGAGTTTACCCACTGTCGTTTTCAACTGATTTAGTCTTGAGATCTACACTACAAAGAAAGGTCTTCACTTCCGCCCATCTCGTACCTCAGACTATGTAGGTTGGTGAGAGAGGCTAACAGTGGTACAATCCTTGACACAAAAGGTACAACTTTATGACTCAATCTGTTGTGAATTCACCTCTAAGTGTCTGCATCTAGAAGTAGGGAGAGTGTTGGAAATCAATCCGTGGAAGGTCTTTTTCTCCTGAGAGGGTTGAATGGACAGGTAGGCGGGAACCAGTAACGATTTCTCTAGAACCTAAGCAGTCTAGTGATAGGTGGGTCTTTAAGAATACCAGTCATCTGCTCCAAAAGAGACCCTCTATGGCATCTCAGTAAATAAGCATTTATTTCTGTAAATTCCTCTCTTATGCCACGATGTCTCTATGCCTGTGGCAATGTGAGGTTACATAAATAATATGGGCAGGGGAGCCACAAAATCAGCATGTGTGTGACTTACCAAACCTCTGCTGGGGTGCTTAAGGGCTTTGAGGAGGAAGGTAGGATGCGGCATCTCATAAAAACAAAAATCCCGATGATTTATATAGTTTTGCCAAATAAGGCCCACAGGGCAAATACAAAAGGCCTTGGACGGCCTCCAGCTCCTCCCGAGACAGCCAGTTTGTCAAAATGCCTATCACATGGCCTTACACACGCCCTTCACGCTACAGCTGACATTTGCTCCTGACACTTTTTCATAACCAAACAGCATTTTGCAAAAAGTTAATTAATGGCATTTTATTTGGGTATTATATGACTTAGAATTATTTTCACATTTTTTTAATCCCTTCATCTTTTTCATGCAGCCCTTATTTTCACATTCTTAATTTTGCTTGACATTTTGAAAATAGTATGCCTAATTCTTTTGTGTGGCTAAAAAAAAAAATTTTTTTATGTGGCTAGCATGTATTGAATACTATTTTTTCCTTCCCCCAAGAATTGACGCAAACACCGAACTGCTTTTTGTTTGAGCTTGGAGAAATAAAGCATTCTGTGTGATTGGAATCTTAATTGCTATGGCCCCAAACTTACCTCATTAGGAGCTCCTTTTTAATGAGGAAAATTATTTTCAAAGTTAATGAATTTGTAAGCAGAAACACTGCTGTCTTCCAGAATGAACTGCCCACATTCCTTACATACATATTTTAGTTAAACACGCTAATGAACGTTGGTACTTAAAACATGTGGGATTGATTTCCCTGGTAAAGCGAACTTCCCTTTGTTTTTAGACAGTATAAAAAGACCACAGTTTCCCTTCTTATAGACATCAAGCTGCACATACAAGCTTAATTCCGGAGTTTGGATGAAATGGAAGTTATTTCATCAAACAATTCGTTTTATTGACCTTAGCCACTTCAAGCTTGTTAACACCAAACATCTTCTGTGCAGATGAATTAACGATGTCCAATCGTCACAGCAAAGAAAATTGTGACGAATGCTCTGAAGCAAGCTCTTTAACTCTAACATGACCCGCAGTAACTGCATATTTGTCCGGAGTCCACGGCTTTTGTGCAGGGTAAGGGAGAGTTCGTTTATGCTGTGCTTTGTGTCAAACTTCAGCATTCCCGTGACAGTGGGTGCTGACTCGGAATGTGTGACCCAGCAGCAAACAGCCCAGCCTCTTTGAAGACAATGTAAGTACGGGGTAGGAGACCTAGTGAGCACAGGGTGCTGTGGACGAGTTTCAGTGGACTCAGAGGTACGTGGTTATAACAAATAGTTGCAGAAATCAGACCTGATACTATTGAGCTGGACATTTGAACTGTCTTCAACTACAGGCAAAAAACATGGCATTCCGATTTCCTGTGTAGCAAACACAAGCTGGTAAGTCTGGAGTAAATCTAACTACCATATTTATCCCTGGGTGGTGGAATTGCAAGCTATCTTTATTTTCTTCCTTATGCTCTTACATATTTCCCAAATCCACTGAAACGAGTATATACTTTTACAATCAGAAAACAATCATTTAAAAATCTTTATATGGACAAACTTTCATGGTTAAACTAAATGTAATTATACGGTAACAGTATTTTAAGTGGTCTCTTTAAAGTTGGTACATTACTGGGGCAGTAACCCACAAACTAATTGGTGCTTTACTTAAAATGTAATTTATGCACTAATAAAGATACAATCCATTTCTTGAGAAATGCTTTTAGACTGGAACTCTGAACATGAACCGGTGAAAAAAGAAATCCAGGGGCGCCTCCTCCGCCTGTACCCCGAAACCTGCTAGCATCTCTGTTTCCATGTATCCACCACTGTGGCCTTTACAGACAGGGAAACAAGAGACATCAAGAGGCAGTGGGAGGTTTCTCTGAAATCAAAATATAAAAATATATGAAATACTCCATAAACAACATGAATCAAAACCCAAAACAGAATAACTGCAGTGAAACAAACTTTTGTCTCATTTCAATGCCTCATTATGTTCCTGCTGTTTGAACACATTGCTGTGTTCACTCTCTAGATTATTATTTTATAGTTGTCGTGCAATAGTCCAGGGACAGAGAAACTAGATTGCTTTCAGAAGCTTAATGCAAATTATTTATTCAATTATTCTGCACATGAAAACACACACTTTGTTTAGAGCTTTAACAATTCTACAGATTAAAGTCTGGATTTAAGTTCATTTCAGGTTCAAATCTATTGCTTACAACAATAATAAATCATTTTCATGGTCATTTCTAATGATAGTGTAGAGGAGACCTTAAAAGGGAAAGGAAAAGAAAAGAAGTTTCAGCTTTGAAGAATTAAAAGATTGGCGTCCGAAACACGTCAGGAAGATGAGCACACCTGCAGTCAACATAATGCCATGCTCAGCAGCCAACTTGACTTTGAGACTTGGGAGGCCCATGGAAGAAGAAAGCACTGGAGCAATGGCCAGCCTGCCCCTGGGATTTGGAAGAAATATAGAGGAAAGCATATTGAGGCCTGTTCCTAATCTGCCCCAAAGTTCTGTGAGAATAGCAGCCAAAAGTGTCACCAAGACACAGAGCGATGTACTCCGAGAGCCCATGCATTCACCATCAGCCAATGAGTTGCTTTACTCCACGACCTTCCAGCCCTGAGAAATCCAGAACCCTGATCAAAAACACCCACGGTAGATACCTGAAAACCTGTGACACTGCATGGCCAGTTATGTACAGCTGGTCCAGAAACTATAAAAAAGATTACATCTTTTCAAAAGAAGTTCGTAAGAAAGTTAAGTTTCTTAGAAGGAAGAAGGCAAAGACCCTGGGAAATAAATATTTATGAATTGAGAATTATAGAAGATCAGCTGTAAAAATGACTATAAGGTAATGAGATGACTTCTCCTACGTGCCATATGGGCCATCTCATTACCCTATAGCCTCACACTGAGTAGAAACATACGGTGACACTATTGGGAATTTAAGTTTATGACATTGCCCAACATTTGACCTAACATAATAAGCAGTCCAAAAACAGTTGTCTGCAAGTACAAAGGACACCAGTTCTCAAATTCAGAAGATTTTCCTCCTCAACTTTAAATTTTTTTCTGGATCTCTACTCATAAATAATTTGTTATTATAACTATCATTTCTATTAATTAATAGAGTATTCATAGAGTATCTACTATGTACAAATCAGAGTGCATACTATAAGAGACTCAAAAACAAATAAGCTACCTACATATTACTTTCTAGTAGATAAGAGGCAGAGTACAGTGCTTACCAGGGTGGAGAGATTTACTCCTGGTTCCCCGAGGATGGTACCTCCCACCACTGCAGGCCCCCTCCCTGCAACTCTTCTGCTTCCCATGACACCTTTCAATCCCCAGGCTGGCCTCAGCCCTCACCCTGGGACACAGGTACCTGCTCCATTCATGCCCATTTATCTTCTGGGGGTCCTCTCCAGTGAGACCCAAAACAGCTTCTCTTTCCCAAAGCCTTTATCTGTTCACCTACAGCTCACCCTCCACACTGGAGGCCTTCCTCTACTCTGCCACCCCCAGGTGCTTTAGCTTTTTGGCCTGGAATTGGGCACCAGTCCTTTGTTTCCTTCAACCACATAGAACACAGTTCCTCATCCTATGGAAGCCCCTCACTGGTGATGGGTGAGAGACACAGTAATCATCAGACACCTGGGCAGGGGTAAGGGGCATTCACAACAAAGTGACAACACTCTCCAAAAAAAATCTCTTCATAAACCCAAATCTTATCTGTTAGTAGTCTCCAAGTTGGGGAGGGAATTGAGAATTAGGAACCACTTCTCAATCGCTTTCTTCAGAATGTCTGCAAATGGCCCTGGCTGGGTAGCTCAGTTGGTTATAGCATTGTCCAGATACACCAAGGTTGTGAGTTCGATCCCCAGTCAGGGTACATACAAGAATTAACCAATGAATGCGTAAGTAAGTGGAACAACAAACTGATCTCTCTCTCTCTCTCCTCCCCACCCCCTTCCTGTCTCTCTAAACTCAACCAATAAATTTAAAAAGTCAGGTGATCTTGCCTTGGGAATTTCACATCTATTAGATTTTGGTGTTTTAGTTAAAACTTCACTTTTGACACCCTTTGCAACAAAGGTAAGTCTCTCCTTATAAGGAATGCTTATAGCTGCTAAAAATGATTATTTCTCTGAATCATTACACACCTAGGTACATTTTTCTGGGGAGAGAGTTTGGAGTTCTGGGGTTAAATTCTCATGGGGGTTTGCGATCCCATTAAGTTCAAGAATTATTGCAATAGAAGATATTTTTATTTCTAGAATTATTTTAAATTAGTATCTTACTCAATTTATAAATGAATAGTATTATCTGATTGGCCATTAAAGTGCTATGAACATAGTGTCAAATTAATCAGAATCACTCAGGTGGTTTAATCCAACCCTCCCCCAACTACCAGCTTTTTATGATAGTATAAAATAGAAGTGAGCTGGTAATTATGCTCTTTCCCAGGATCATCCCCCCCAAATATCCTCTCTTCCAACACTTCCCTTCCCCAAGGAAATTCCACGTGGATTGGTCCTGTCCTAAAACTCAGGCAGCCTGTAAAGGCGAGTGCAGTGCAGGGGCTTTGGGGGAAAGCTGGGGATGACACATGTGATATGTCAACGCTTTTCATGGAAGGCAACTTCCACGTGACCTCAGGCCCACATTTCATACATCACACTATGACAGTGACCTTGAGAAACACAAGAAGGGGAAAAAATGTACTGACTCGGGGACCAATTTCTCAGTGAGAAAAATGAAAGGTCAGTGTTCATCTAAGTGTGACCAACAAATGAAATGGGCAGGAAAGGTGAGAGCGCTTGGCCTCTGCTGTGTGTGTGTGTGTGTGTGTGTGTGTGTGTGTGTGTGTGTGTGTCCCTTTTTCCCTAGAGATCTTCCTGAAGACATTATATGACACTTCTCCTTTGGATCTTATCAAACTGCAAGTTATTCCTAGAAACACTCACTTTCACATTTCTGCACCTTTATTCATTCCAATTCCCTCACCTCAAAGGCCCATTTTCTGTGAAAATCCTTCAAGACCCAGTTCAAATTTGGATGCAGCTGCATATAACAGAAAACCTAAACAGCATTGTTCTAACCAAGTAAGATCAGTAGCCTCCCATATGAGCCTCAGCTAGGAATCGAACCCACAACCTTTTGGTGTACAGGATCACGCTCCAACGAACCAAGCCACGGGGGCCGGGGCCAACCAAGTAAGACTTTTTTCCCTCACATAAAAATGTCTGAAAGGAAGCAGTGCTGGGCTGGTGTGGAAACTCCACAGTCACCAAGGATCCAGCCTCCTGCCATCTTTCTACTCCACTGTCCTAAGCACATGGCTCCCCCCAGGCCATCACGTCCCCTTGCAGCCAGCAAAAACAAAGGGACGGGCAAAGGGGTGCTCTTTCCCCAAAGGGCCCTTAAAGATCACCATCCAGCATCTTTCATGTCATTGGCCAGCCCAATCGGCAAGTGAAGCTGGGAAACATAGTTTCTCTGTTGGACACATTGCCCCGGCCACTACTATCCCGGCTAAAAGCGCATGGATCTTGGATGGACAACCAGACGGTCTGCTCAGCCTCTATAAGCTCATTTCCTTGTTATATAAAATATATAACATATTTTAACTTTTTCTTTCAGTAGGCCAAGGTCAACACTATTGACATTTTGGATAATTCTTTGTAGTGGGTGGCTGCCTTGTGCCCATACGGTATTTAACAGCACCCATAGCGTCTACCCGCTAGATGCCAGTAGCACCACCCCTCAAATGTGACAACTGGCAATGTCTCCGGACATTGCCAAATGGGTCCTGGGGTGCAAAATCCTTCCTACTGAGCAACCGCTACGCAGGCCGTCCCACTTTTCTTTGTATCCCCTCCCCAGCTTAATAAAAACAGTGACGATTTACTGTTACAACTATGTGTGTTTCAACATTTGATGCTGTTCTACCCATTTCTGTTACGCTCGTTTTTGTGCAGGAGAACTGAGCTCGGAAAGAACGCTCTGGAGCTAACAGGGGCCCACTGAGACCCCCGCGACCCCAGAGCTCGCGCTCTCCGCCGCCGCTGTCCTGTCCACCGCGACACAGCCGTGTCCCATCCAGCCCTCGCGCCCCTTAAGCATTCACGGAGCATCTGCTGAACTAAGCTTTAAACAGAAAACATGAGCGCCATCACGGCCTTCCTCGCGGCCTCCTCCCCATGCATCGTGGCGCTTTCCTCTCATGACCTAACACTCGGGTGACGCATCTACTCCTCTGTCACTTAGGGAGTGGGGATGCTCTGCCCTTTGTTCTCTCCGGAGCACAGAAACTAGCACAGGAAAGGGGTCGAAGCGGGAAAGCGCGACTAGGATCAGGAGTGCAATTAAATTATAATGAGGGTAATGTCGAATTAATACTCTTTGTAGAGGTGGAGACGTAGTATTTAATCCTGAAGAAAAATGATCTCAAAAGTTATTTTACTTCTTGCCAGATTTCCCGGAATTACTACATTATGGTTAATAAAACATAAAACTACGTGTCTTTCTTAAAATATGCAACAGTGCTAATTAGCTACAGCAACGCACCTACATAATTTTCAAACCGCGCTTTTTTTTTTAATTTATCTTTAATGATTTCAGAGAGAGGAAGGGAGAGGGAGAGAGAGAGAGAGACATCAATGATGAGTCATTGATCGACTGCCTCCTGCACACCCCCTACTGGGGATCCAGCCCACAACCCGGGCATGTGGCCTGACCGGGAATCGAACCTCGGCCTCCTGGATCCTAGGTCGATGCCCAACCACTGAACCACGCCAGCTGGGCTCAAATCACTTTTTAAAATAACATGTAGCTTTTCCCTTATAATTTAAAGCACTGAAATGTAACCTACATTGCAAAATTGCTTTTAACCACTAGAGGGCAGAAAATGCTCCACATTTGTACTAAACTAATCTTAAATTCTTCGACCACCACAACAAAAAGTCTCTAAGATCCTCTGGTGTATGCTGTACAATATACTGTACATATAAGGCTCAGTTAACAACTTAAAATTTTAAACTAACATACAACCACCTAAATTCAACAGTTTATCCAAGGCAGCAGTAAAATCTCATTTTTGCAGCCTGAGTCTAGCTGTGAGTCAAGGAATTTTACCATCAGGGACTCAGTACGTCCTCAAGGAAAGGCAGAGTACTTAAACAAAACAGAGCAAACTATGCTTGAGAATCAGTAAGGTTCCTTCTATGTTAAAATATCTGCAATGACATGCAAAGGTTGTGTTTTCTATAAGACTGAAATAGTCGCTGATTCTTTAATTTCCATGTGTGCCTTCTTTTACCACAAACCAACCGTAGATCTAACTATGGCGAAGATGCTTTGGGTTTCCTCTCACTATATCTTTTTGACCTAATTAACTTTTGTTTCCATCCCAATAAGCCATTTGCATTTCAGTAGCTAAAGCACTACTTTGTTTGATTAGAAAGCACAACCTCTTCACTTTTTCACTCTCATTAATTAAAACATATCGTGGTAAATTAAGCCATTTGGATTTCAGTCTGGGTGGGTGACATTTTAACAACTGCCCCTTCAACCTCCTCTCTCTGTCAGTCCTGGCCATGTCCTCCATCACAGGACAGCGGGAGGGCAATGGTGGAGCAGGCGTGGAGCCAGGGT